AGCGCGGCCGCGACCCACCCTTGCCAGCCGTCCGACAATAATTCCCGTGCAATCTGACCTCAATTAACATAACCTGACTCAACATGAACATGATCGTCGAAATGACTTAAAAACATAACTTTTCGCACGATCAACGGAATGGGTCGTGGCGAGCGCGCCGTGCGCCGCCGACGGCGATAGGCCGTCACTTGACCATTTCACTTTTTTCCTCGGCAACTCAAGACCAATTGAACACGAAACATTATTTTAAGGCTATGAAGACGTAAATCACACGGACAAACTTGACCAAACTGAAAGTAACATAACATGGCATGAAGTAGGCCGTGGCCGTGCGCGATGTGCGCTGCCAACAGCCGAGAGCCAATTCATGAATAAAACAGCATTTTGTCTCGACCATCATCAAGTTATTGAGTATAAAATGAGGTAAACTGATCATTTAAACATAAATGGTTCGTGAGTTGCCGGGTAAAACGAGAAGTTACTCGATTACGACTTAACTAGGCATTAACCGAACCTATAGCCATGAACTCATGATTCGAACATTACTACTTAAATGAGCTTATTGACGTAAAAATGAGTTGAGAACGGCTTTACCTCCTCAAGTGCTCGTCAAAATATCGCAACCTGACCGAGACCTCGCGTGTGTGCCGTGTGCGATAGCTTGTCGTGCGATGCTACTTGCCGTGCGATGCTTCGTTAATTGCCGTGCGTAGAGTATGGAAGGCTATGGTAAGATGCTGATCTTGTTGCTGAGCTTAAGGACTTGCACTAAGAATATAGAGCTACGTATATATGATGGGAAAGGTTGGAAAATTTTCCCAAACTCACCATATAAATAGGCCGAACTATTAAGAGAGGTGATGAAGGGAGATCGTGGCTAACTCTTGCTCTTGACACTTGCCATCTTAAGAGATAAATTATATGTGACTAATCATCATTAGGTCCTCTTAATAGGACACGTACACCACCCTAAAAGCAAAGATAAAATTCGTTTCCTTAGGCTAAGGTAAGGTGTACGGCACTTAAGGGAATTTGGCCTTTTTCCATACGAATTAATGAACTTAATTAGTGATTATTATATCATTAATCACCTTATTATGCTTAATTAAATTTTTAAGCATAATACTTAATTACCAAAATTATTCCAAACGTAAACGGTACGTCGAAAATAATTTTCGGTATTCTCGACTGAAAATAATTAGTCCCGAAAATAATAATCGATAACATTATTATATCGGAATTAAAACAGGTAGGACTAATCGATACGCGACCTCGCCTACTCGTTCGAGAACCTCGAACGGACCGATGAACCGAGGGTGCAGCTTCCCTCTCTTTCCGAATCGCACAACTCTGCGAATAGGACGAACTCTGAGAAAGGCTGGCTCGCCAACCTCGAACTGAATGTCTCGTCGATGATGATCGGCGGAAGATTTCTGTCGACTCTTAGCTGTCTTGAGTCTCTGCCGGATCAACTCGACCTGATCTGCTGTCTCTTCGATCAGCTTAGGACCGAGTACTCGTCGCTCTCCGACGTCGTCCCAATAGGGAGGGGAACGACACTTGCGACCGTAAAGTGCCTCATAAGGAGCCATCTGAATAGAAGAATGGTAGCTGTTGTTATACGCGAACTCGGCGTACGGCAACAACGACTCCCACTTAGCACCGCTGTCAACAACCAAAGCGCGAAGCATATCCTCAAGTGTCTGAATGGTTCGCTCGGACTGACCATCTGTCTCCGGATGGTAGGCTGAACTGAACGCTAGCTTCGTGCCCACTGCCTCATGTAAACTGTGCCAGAATCGACTGACGAATCTGGGATCTCTGTCTGATACGATCGTAACGGGCACTCCGTGGAGTCTGATGATCCCATGGGTATATTCTCAGCCAACTTGTCCAGAGACATCTTCATCGAAACGGGTAAGAAATGTGCAACCTTAGTCAATCTGTCGACCACGACCCAGATAGCGTCGTGATGTTCAAACGACCTCGGTAATCCCGTAACGAAATCCATCGTGACTTCCTCCCACTTCCATCTCGGAATAGGCAGTGGCTGCAGGAGGCCGATCGGACTCTGATGTTCGGCTTTGACTTGCTGACAGGTAAGACATCTCCTGACGAACTCGGCGACGTCCTTCTTCATGCCGCGCCACCAGAATGACCCTTTCAGGTCGTGATACATCTTCGTGCTCCCGGGATGGGCCAAATAGGGTGCGGTATGAGCCTCTGATAAAATCTCCTTCCGCAACGCCTCGACCTTCGGGACCACGATCCTGCCTCCGAACTCTAGGGCACCATCGGCACCTAGCTGAAAACCCTCGACGCCTCCAGCGTGAACCTTGGCCTCCATGACACGAATGAACTCGTTATAAGCCTGCTCTCGCCGGATTCTCTCTCTCAACGTCGGCTGAAGTTGCATAGCACTGACACTGGCACTGGTACTCCCCGAAACGGCTATGGGAAGTGCATCGATCGCCTGAAGCTGTATCCGGGCAAACTCCTGAATCAACGGACTCTGCTGCGTAATGACGTACGTCAAGTCACCCTTCACCTTTCGGCTTAGGGCATCTGCGACGACGTTCGCCTTTCCCGGATGATACTGAATGGAACAGTCGTAATCCTTGACGAGCTCGAGCCAACGGCGCTGCCTCATATTAAGCTCCTTCTGCGTGAAGATGTACTGCAGGCTCTTATGATCTGTGAAAATCTCGCAACGTCCGCCGTAAAGATAATGTCGCCAGATCTTGAGAGCATGAACAACGGCAGCTAACTCCAAGTCGTGCGTCGGATAGTTCTGCTCATGAGGCTTAAGCTGACATGAAGCATACGCGACGACCTGGCTGTCCTGCATAAGGACACATCCCAAGCCCTGTCTCGAAGCATCACTGAAGATGGTGAAACTCCGAGAAGGATCAGGAATAGTCAACACCGGTGCTGAAGTTAACCTCTTCTTGAGCTCCTGAAAGCTCGCCTCACAACGATCAGTCCACTCGAACTTCACAGACTTCCTCGTCAGCTGGGATAGAGGGAGGGCGATCTTAGAGAAGCCCTCGATGAACCTGCGGTAATAACCAGCTAAACCGAGAAAACTGCGAACCTCGGACGGACTCCTCGGTGTCGACCAGTTCTGAACGGCTGAGACCTTGGAAGGATCCACTTCGATACCTGCCTGAGTAATCACATGACCCAGAAAGGATACTCGTTGGAGCCAGAACTCACATTTGGAGAATTTTGCAAACAACTTTTCTCGTCTGAGGGTTTCGAGAACCACCCTCAGATGCTCCTCCTGCTCCTTCTGGCTCTTCGAGTAGATAAGAATATCGTCAATAAAGACAATAACGAACTGATCGAGGTAGGGATGGAAAATACAGTTCATGAGGTCCATGGAAACAGCTGGAGCATTGCTGAGACCGAAAGGCATGACGACGAACTCGTAATGGCCGTAACGAGTCCTGAAAGTGGTCTTAGCGATATCTGATTCCATGATCTTCAGCTGGTGCTAGCCTGATCGTAAATCAATCTTTGAGAGCACACAGGCTTCCCTCAGCTGATCAAATAAATCGTCGATCCTGGGAAGCGGGTACTTGTTCTTGATCGTCAACCGGTTAAGATCCCGGTAGTCAATACACATGCGCATGGATCCGTCCTTCTTCTTAACAAAGAGAACGGGTGCTCTCCATGGTGACACGCTCGGTCGGATGAAACCGAGTCGTAACAGCTCCTGAATCTGAGTCTTAAGCTCCTGCAACTCCTTAGGCGCCACGCGGTACGGCGCTTTGGATACTGGACCGGCCCCTGGAATGAGATCGATAGAGAATTCCACCTGCCGGTTAGGCGGTCCTCCTAGAAGCTCGTCTGGGAACACGTCCACAAACTCTCGAACGACTGGAACATCATGAGGTGAGCGTGCTTTTTGAGAATCATCGACAAGGCTCACCAGATAACCCGACAGTTGCCTTGTCGCAGTAGCTTAGTGGGTTTCGCCATTAAAACAACATGAGGCAGTGAACGATTCCTGGAGCCAAAGAAAGTGATCGACTCATCTCCCGGAAGATAGAGAGTGATCTCCCGGTCGTGACACCTGATATTCGCATGATAGAAGGATAGCCAATCCATTCCGAGAATAAGGTCGAAGTCCCTCATGTCGAGAACAAACGGGTCGGTAGACAATAAACGACCACCGATGGAAAGGCTAAGATCTGAGGCTTTAGCTGAGGTCACTATCTTCTGTCCCGAGGCTAAACTCACCTCGAGAGGATCGACAGCGGTAACGGCGTGAACTCTTATGGCATCAAGACATCGTCGTGAAATGAATGAATGTGTTGCTCCAGTATCGAACAAAGCGAAAACAGGAATATCATTAAGTATGACCATCCCTGATATAGTACCTGGCTGCTGTGCTGCCTCTGCCTGATCAACCGCGTAAACTCGGGCCTGCTGCCTGCCCCTCTGCTGCTGCTGCTGAGGCGGCCTCTGCGCCTGCTGACGTGGCTGTTGCTGCTGTGGTGGCTGCGGAGGCTGCTGAGGCTGCTGCTGAAGTCTCTTCGGACAGCGACTCGCAAAGTGTCCAGGCTTGTGGCAGTAGTAGCAGATGTCCTGACCCATGTGGCACTCTCCCCGATGAAGTCGTCCGCAAGTCGGGCACGGTGGAGCCTGCTGTTGTCTCTGTCGGGTCCTCCGATCAGTCTGTGCACCCTTCCCCTTCTTCTTCTTCTCCTTTGCCGGCTGAGAAGCTGGTAGAGCTGGTGGAGCTGCGAATGGCTGAACTGGGGCGGATGGCTGGGCACGATCACGGACGGCCTCCCTCCTGATGCTAACGTCCACCTCCTGGGCGATAGAAACTGCACGAGCGTAGGTCTGTGTCCCGTGTCTCACGATGTTGTGACGGACTGCTGGGTAAAGCCCGTCGATGAACCGCTGCGCTCTCTGAGCCTCCGTGCAAACCAGATCCGGTACGAAAGCTGCAAGTCTAGTGAACTCTCTCTCGTACTCATCAACTGTACGAGTGCCCTGCTGGAGCGTTAAGAACTGACGCTCCATCTCTGCCCGATAGTAGGAGGGGTAGTACTTTTCGCGGACTAGCTCCTTGAGCATGTTTCATGTACATCCCGCTTTTTCACTGGGACGCATGCTCCAGTAGGCGTTCCACCAGAGCCTAGCATCACCAGTGAGCTGAAGCTGAGCGCAAACTACACGATATCTATCGGGGCAGTCCATGACCTCAAAGATAAACTCCAAGCCCTGAATCCATTCATCTACAATGCGGGGATCTCCCTGCCCTGAGAACTTTTCAGCGTGGTAGTCGCGGAATTGTGCGACTACAGTAGCCTGAGTAGGAGCCGGATGATCGGGTTCCCTACGTGGCGGCATCTGAACATTGAGAAAGTTTAACATTATTGAATACGTGATAACATTCTGACTCATTACTAAGGCACACAGATCTCTTGACGAGTTGCCAAAAAGGGCTGATAATTACTGACATGAATCCTGAAGAACTCTAGAGTCATATCGGAAGATACTAAAGTCTAGAGTCATATCTGAATGCCCTGTATTCTAGAGTCATATCTGAAAGTCCTGAATTCTAAAGTCCGGTCCTGATTCGAGCATCTTAACTAAGGTTCTGATCCATTATTCTGAGCATAGACAAAGTAATATGTTTATAACTGAAAACATAAATCAACACTTACCTGTCGTCGGCGGGGCGTGAGCATGACAGTTCAGGTTTTTCTGAAAAATTACTGACTGAAAAACTTTTCAGAGACGCAGAAACGTGCTCTGATACCAATTGTAACACCCCACCTTATCGTAAAATCAGAGTGCGAAAATTTCGCAACGTTATTTAAAAATAAAATCTTTTACTTTGCGAAAACTGATTTGGGGTGCTACCGTAAAAACGTGACTTAATTTGGAAAACCATTATCTTAAATATTTAATAAAATTATGGTGTTACTGAAAGCATAAAGTTTTCCAAAAGTCCGGTCAAAATATGAGTTCATCAAAAACATCGTCAGCGGAAGCGTAAATCGTCATAATATATACATAATCAAAACATGAAAGTCCTGAAGCCTTTGTCATCTCACGCTCCCAGCCCGACATCCTGACCTGAAAAACATGATAAAAGTGGGAAATGAGCACTATGGCACTGTGCTCCGTGGAAACTCATACTAATGTAAACATTGAAAATAATAACAACATCATGATATCGGCATATACATAACCTCAACATGAAACCGGTAATAACATGAACATGAATCTGATATCGTCATGCAACGTGACCCTGACCGTTACCTCATCTGCCGGCAAAAACTAATGTCGGACACCATGTGCACACTCTAGTGGGCAGACTAGGGCCACTAGAACCCAGAATGGACCGGCGACCATTCCGAGCGGATACTGACATGAAATACATACCTCAAACATGGTACCGTAATTATAGTCAATGTAGTACTTAGTCTGAGTCCCCACCTGAACTGCTGAAACTGAACGGTAGTGCTGATGCTTGATCAAACTGAAAATAATATAAACAATTACTATTGACTATGCTCAGACTGTTAACTTAACTGATTAGCTTCGTTAAGATGCTCTACTGAACCTGACATGATATTTAGACTTAACCGGAATAACCGAACCTGAACTAACATGAACTGATCGGACATTAACTTACTGAACTTAAATTATCCCGGAATATTTACTGAAAATACCATTAAAATCATGAACCGGGCTGAAATCATAACATACGGACCGAACCATTTTAAAAATGAGACTGAACCGGTCCAGCCGGTCTGAACCGGTCTGGACCGGACTGCCGGTCGGCTGAACCGGGCAGTCGGCATGGGCTCGGCCAGCAGCCTGCCGGGCTGCGC